TGAGTTGATTGGTCGCCGTCGCCAGATGTCGTCCCCCATTCCGTTGCCACAGCTTTGACCGCAATTGCAGCTGCAATTATGCCGAGTTCATTAGGCTTTAGGCCTCCGGGCACTTTAGCCTCTGGGCCACAGAAACAGAGCCCACAAACCAAAGAGAGAGAGAGAGAGATGGGGAAAGAGGTGGAGAACAGGTGTGTGGGGGACAGGCGATTAACAATGTTTCTGCAGTGCAGTCATTTATAATTAACCTTAAATCTGTCTACAATTGGGCGGGTGAGGGGGCTCTCCTTTGTGTGTGCTTTTCTGAATTTTAAATCAGTGAAGGAATGGGTTTATGGTGATGGCAATTACAGGGCTTTAGCAGGTTAAATGCGATTATTTAAAGATGGTTTTATAGGATTAAAATTGTGTGTTTTATGCGTATAAAGAATTATGCGTTGGTTTGGCAGCTTATAAATGGAACGAAATTGAATGAAAGTTGTTTCGCTGTATAATTTTCCCATAAGTGAAGGGATACTAAATCTTATTTTAGAGCCTTTCTGCACATACCATCACGCGGCTTGCCTCACCTTCACCCACATCCCCAAACACATCCAAACACACACATTTTAACCCACGAATGATCCATGCTTCTTGCCAAAAAGATCTCTCTTTCTCTCTCTCTCTCTGTTTTCTGTCTGTATCCTTATATGTGTTTTGCTTTCTGTTTTGTCTTTCCCTCCCCCACAAACCACCAAACATTCCACAAAAATTCCAAAACTCAGAACCAGAGTGCCGCCTCAGCAGAAGGAACAACCACAGAGGAGGCGGAGGGCGTGAGTGAGCCGCCGATCAAATTGGTGCATGTCCTGAATCCCGGAGAGCGGGAGTATCTGTCGCCCAATCTAATTGGCGTGCAGAATATTGCCATGAGCTTTCTGCCGCTCTCGATGAACTTTGTCAACATTGTCGATGCATTTCGGGAGATCACCAGCGGCGTGCGGTACGAGATTCTGCTGAATGCTGTGGACACAAAGGCGGAGAATGCGGACACCATCTGCCGATTGGTTATCCTCGAGAAGCCCTGGCTGCGCACCCAGTGGGGGGACAAGCATCGGGAGCTGGTCAACTCGAATTGCACGGATTCGGCAGAGAACTCGCTGTCCTCGGATCCGGCGGAGAAGGCGCGGCTGCTGAATGAGAAATATGTGAGTAACAGCATCTTCAATGGCGGGCAGAGGAACGAGCTGAGTGACTCCGAAATGGCCCATCTGGAGGCCCAAATACTCACCGGCATGGGGCCAATGAAGCGGAAAGTCAGCCTGAATAAATCTGGTGCCGCCCCTCCAGCTGCGGCTCCCACCTCTGCCTCTCCTCTGGCCGGTGATCCTGCACCTGCTGCTCCTGCTCTTTTGGTCACCATAACAGTCTCCGATTGGAAACCAACGCCACCTGGTCCTGAGTCTGGGCCCACTAATGAGGCCACAACGGCAATTAGCATTGATGAGGCAGCAGCAGCCACCGAGCAGACTCCTCCTGAGAGTGTGGCAAATGATGGAGTGGAGGCGCAGGAGGAGGAGCAGCAGCAGCAGCAAGTGGATGGCACAACGACGCCGCCTGCCACCAGCGAGCTCAACGATAATGAGAAACGTTGGCTCGACGATTTCCTATCGGTGGGTGCGTATAATTTTGAAAAGACCATTCAGAAGAAGCAGAACGAGGACAGCCAGCAGCAGGAACAGCAGGAGGAGGCGGCGGAGGAGGAGACCATTCAGGAGGAGGCTACCACTATTATACCATCTTCAGCATCATGAATATTATATTACCATCAACACAGACACACAGACACACTCATGCACCCTACCATCACACCCCCCTAAGCATCTAAACATCCCTCTGTCTGCCCCACACATAAATACTCTTTATACAAAACACTCAACCTAAATACGAACAATAAAAAAAGAAAATGTTATTTAATTGAATTTATTTAAGCTTTGCCTTTTGCTCACACCTGCCACACCTGTCCATGTTTATGTCCGTGTTGGGGGGGTGTGTGCGGGAATGCGTTGGGAGGATAGGGTAGGGTTGAGCAACCCCCCAGAACCCCCACACAACACTTATTTCACCTTAATAATCAAATGAGTTTCCGCTCTCAAATTACGGCCGCAATCTGTTTAAACCCGGCAGGGAGAGAGCCCCCCAGGGGGAGAGCGGGGAGAGAGCATCTTCCATTCACCTGTCTATATTTTGCTCGTGGCGGAAAGGGTGCGAGAGAGTGAGAAGCTTAGCAGAGGCAGGCCCTTGGCAAGTACCGTTATATATGAGAGGTTTACTGTATCTGTGTGTGTGTATGTGTTTGTGAGTGCAAGTGTTTGCCCCTGTGGTGTCGTGAGAAAGAGGGAGAGAAGAAGAACACACACAACACACACACATTCTGAGAATGTGAGTGCGAAGCAAGTGTTCTCATTATCCCTGTGCTCTACTTTTTACAGCGGTTGACTCTCAGCCGCAGAAGAATGCACAGTGGTATGAAGATCGTTGCAGAGTGGAGAGTGCAGAGAAAATACATGTATATAAATACTCCCAAGAGATCGAAGAAAAAGGGGTTGATCGTAGGATGTATGATGATGCGGTGTCACTCTTTGTAGCTATAGTTATTTAGTGACTTTTAAGTAATTGTTTTCGTTTAGAATATGTCTCAACAAAAAAGATCTCACCAATGAGATCATGAGAATAAAGAATATTATTAAGTAAGTCTTCAATATTTATCTATAAAAAATATGTTTCCCTTTCAGAACAGACTTCTAACAGAATGATGTCCATCTATTGCAATAATATTCATGATCGCAACGAATATAACCCGATTTAATAAATGAGTTTTCTAATAATTCTCACAAATTCCCACAAAAACCGTTGCACATATAAAAAAAATCAGCATAGTGAGGTGCCGCCACAGCCATACGAGTGGGGGAGATCTAAATACGATACCAAAATACCATAAAATAGAATAAATAAATGGAAAACGAAAACAATTCCCCCGTTGATTTTACTGATTTGCGGCAACTGTCGGAAACTGTATAATCGTTTCCACACTTGACAGTCGATATTTGTCCATATATGTATGTATGTTGTATATGTACATATTTATATGTATGTTTGCATGTATGCGTACGTACCAGAGTACTTTCAACGGAATGGATTTTACGGGTCATTGCACACACTCCCTATCTGTACACCCATATGGCCCCACTGTTCCTCCACCCTCGGGGCTCGTTGAAACATCATTTACGTTATAATTCTTATTGAAATACACATTTGAATTAACAGCTCAGCGCGCTGGGGTTGAGGCAGGAACTGCGACTGCTGGAGGGGGGAATGGGGACAGTTGTGGTAGGATCTATAGATGGGTTGGGGAGTGGAGTGGAGCGATGCTTAATGAATTCATGTTCGGACAGGCTGTACAGCCTCGTGCAGGCAATCCCATCGAAACATTGCTCCGCCGTTGCTCTTTCGCTTGCTTCCTCCCCCCAATTCTCCTGTATTTTTAATTATACACACGTCGGAGCCATTACATTTCACTCCCCGGCATTGTTGTCGCTAGCCCCAACTGCTTCCCATCTGTCCCCCCGCCACCCATTTGGGTCTGCATGGGTGGTGACCTGTCCTGGTCCAACGACTCCTCTGCTCAAGCCCTGCCATCGGTCCAACGACTATTGCCTGCCGCCTCCTCCTGCTCTGTCAGTTACCTGCCAACGGCAGCAGAGGCTGAGCAGTATCATCAGACATTTTTGGGGCTCCTCCTCGGCACAATGAGAATCAGCAGCAGCAGAAGTGAAACCCAAAATTCCTCACTCCAAACCCATCATCAGGCATCAGGGGCATCAGGAACATCAAAAGCAGGAGAGCGGTATCAGGAGCAGAAGCAGAACAGCATCGCCATCATCGATGCCAAGAGGCAAACGAATTTCCAGCCAAAATGTTTGGTTTAATTGGTTTTGTGTTCGTCATTGAATGGTTTATGTGTCGTGCCGCATGTGTCTTTCGCTGTGTTATTGTTGGGAACAGATCTGCCTTTAGGGTGGCGGTGCTCATGGAGGTTACCTCGTCAAAGGGTTTGCTTTGGTGCAAGTTTTTCGGCATGCGTGTGTGCCGTGTGTTTTGTGTGTGTCTTTCTGTCAATTTTGGTAATGTAGATTCCGACTTGTCTTTGTTTCATTTGCATTTATATGTAATTTATGTGCCAGGAGCAGGTTCCGCACCCACATTCCATCTTCATTCTCCATCATGTCATCTCCATCGCTCACCGGATTGATGTAGCGACAGCTGTGTGTCCTGTGTGTCTGGTCTGTCTCTTTGTAATGGATAAGTGTATCTATTTCGGTTAATTAGCCGGAGGATTAACGAGTACTGTGCCGAGCAAAGAGGGGGCATGTAGGCTGACTTGTGCCCCTGTGCTATTTAGCGACTTATACTTGTGTATCTGTTGGATACTTTTATATGTTTGGCCAGCCAATTCCGAATGATGGATGCCCCAGTGGGCAGCATAAAGCTATGCCTCATAGTCCTAAGATTGTTAACCACACTGGTTGCTTGTGCTTTAATTCTTAAGTGGTGCGTAGGCCGGGCAACGATAAGCTTTTTCGGTCATTGAGCTACTGATACCATGGAACAAGAGGCTAAATTACAGCAGAAACTGTTTCACGTCACGTCTTTAGGCCATCAGTCAAAAAGCTATGCCAAGTATAACAATCGTTCATTTCAGACATTAGATCTAGTAACAAAGTAAATCAAAATAATGCAAACAAGAGGAAAGAATCCGTTTAAGAATTTTAAGGAGAATCTCTAAGATTCAGTGATTCAATCGATGATGTTCAAAGAATCATAATTTATGCTGACTTTATGCTCTATAACCGATAAGAGTAAATTCTCCAAGCATACTCTTCACTTTCTATAACAAACTTCCCCGTAAAATCTGGTTCTAAAAACGAAAAAAACATCATTGTCAATGAAAAATCACTCCTCGCTCTACTCTATTCAAAATTCATTCACATTGATACGTTAGACACGGTTGGTAGTCTAGAAACAAGTAAATACTTTACACGAAAATATATCAACGGTGCGTATAGAAATTCCCCCACAGTAATAAAATAACCCCCTAGATAAAGATACTTAATCCATAACCAAGTAGAAACAAACAAAAAACTCAGAATGAAGCCTTCACCTTTGATGACACGCATTCGACAGATTTGGATTATGACCGGATGGTTGCGGCACGAGGCAGCGGCAGCCGCTGGCATGATGGTGGTGCGTCGCCAGGAGGGATTATCGCAGGAGGACAGTCAAGGCGATGAGCCTGAAGCTGCAGCTGAGGCAATGGTGGGCCAAGTGGGTGTCGATACGGAGGGAAAGCTGCGCAAAGTGCGCATTCTGGACGACTACATTGTGCCCTTTGAGTGCGGTTTGTGATCTAAAATATCTGGAGATCAGCACAGAACCAAGCCAATGTCCCTCCAAACCAAGATCTGATCTTCTTGTATTTGTTATAATTGAATGAAAATGTTTGCAAAAATTAATTGTTATTAAAAGACAGTTTTAAAATGGGATTTGGGCTGCGATTTGTGATACTTTGTCCACTGATTCATCCACTTTCCTGCAACGGCTTCTACTTTCAGTTCGTGCGCAGCAAACGCGGCCTTAATGATGTACCCTTAGGTCACAGCAAACCCTTCGACGCGAAGCAGGCCGAGGCGCAGCTTCAGCGCACCCTGGACAAGCTAACAGCCGGCGAGGGACCGCATTACAAGTAAGAGAAAGAGCAACCCAAGCCAAAGGAGCAACTAAATCAACTTTCGACTCTGTTACAGAATCGTCAAAGTTTACACGGCCTCGCGTCAGGTGGTGTCGGGCACTTTGACTCGCATTGATGCTGACCTCATTGATGGCAACACGGATGTGCAGCACCGCTGCATCGTTGAAATCTGGGCACAGCCGTGGCTGGAGCAGGGACACGACATTACATTCAAGTGCCGCAACCAGAAGGTGGTGCAGGCCCGTCACAGTCGCTCCGTGGAGTGGGCCGAGAAGAAGACGCACAAGAAGCACAGCCACAGCCACAGCCATCATGCGCTGGACAAGGTGGACCATTTGTTCCACAAGTTCCAGATCCGGTTCGAGCGCCGCTACGACACAACGGCAGAGCGACAGATGAGGATGCGCATCTTCAGGCAGAACCTGAAGACCATCGAGGAGCTGAACGCCAACGAGATGGGCAGCGCCAAGTACGGCATCACGGAGTTTGCGGACATGACCAGCACGGAGTACAAGGAGCGCACCGGTCTGTGGCAGCGGGACGAGCTGAAGCCCACTGGCGGTGCCCCAGCCGTTGTGCCGAAATACGAGGGAGAGTTTCCCAAGGAGTTCGACTGGAGGCAGAAGAATGCCGTCACACAGGTGAAAAATCAAGGCTCCTGCGGCTCTTGCTGGGCCTTCAGTGTGACCGGCAACATCGAGGGTCTGTATGCCGTGAAAACGGGCGAGCTGAAGGAGTTCTCCGAGCAGGAGCTCCTCGACTGTGATACCACAGACAGTGCCTGCAATGGCGGACTCATGGACAATGCCTACAAGTAAGTCAACACCAAGGAAGTGCAGATTGAGGCTCACTCTTTCATTCATTTTGATTCCTTTAGAGCGATTAAGGACATTGGTGGCTTGGAGTACGAGGCTGAGTACCCGTATGAGGCCAAGAAGAAGCAGTGCCACTTCAACAGGACACTCTCCCATGTCCAGGTCTCTGGATTTGTGGATCTGCCCAAGGGCAACGAAACGGCCATGCAGGAATGGCTGCTCACCCACGGACCCATCTCGATTGGTAAGACTGATGGAGATTTTCATGAAATAAAAGGCATTCTCATCGCTTTGCGTATCCTTTCTTACAGGCCTCAATGCCAATGCCATGCAGTTCTATCGCGGCGGCGTCTCTCATCCCTGGAAGACTTTGTGCTCCAAGAAGAACCTCGACCATGGCGTACTGATTGTGGGCTATGGCGTCTCTGACTATCCCAACTTCCACAAGACCCTGCCCTATTGGATCGTTAAGAACTCGTGGGGTCCGCGCTGGGGCGAGCAGGGCTACTACCGCGTCTATCGCGGCGACAACACCTGCGGCGTCAGCGAAATGGCCACCTCCGCCGTGTTGGCCTAAGCCAAAAGCCAACCTATCACCCCATCATATATGAAATATACACATGTATATCTAGGTTAATATTCGAGCCATTTCCAGCAAAGACATCAAGATAAATATCTTGAAGCTTCTTTCCTACTTTTTGTGTACTTTCCGTTTCAATCGATGCTCTGCGACAGACGCGACGAGCAGTTCGTTTAGTTTTTCTACGTTCATCTCGCAAGATATGTGTAAACATTATAATCATTTTTGAACATCTGTAATCTCACAAGAAAATTCAGCATCCGCCACACATAAATGCAGCTTATTAATTGAAATAAATTTAAACAACAAATTGTACGAGAAATCAGAGTCAGTTCTCAGTTCTTGGCTGGATAAATGGTATGATGATGGGCATAGCCCCCTTAATCGATGTCAGCCTTGGTGCATGCAACAGTTGGCTGTGGCACAGTGGTGCAAGCAGTGATGGAAAGTCGATGAAAAATCTGCTTGCAATTGTGCTCTCTAAAATGTCTTCACTTAATCAAAGTAAAGTAAGTTTTCGTTTGTGATCCTGCTCAATGGAGTTTCTGCTCTTTAAGTGCAGGTTGCTGCACGACTTCGTATCGTGCAGATCTATCGAGAATCTATCTTTTTATCAACCAAGGAGAAAAAGTAACACTGAAACAACAGTGGAGCAAGCGAAAGTTCTCATCCTGGCGAAGAAACAGCTCCAGAAATTACAACTGATAAAGATAAGACAGCTGAGGATTTTGTAATGTGGGCTATAAAATCTAACAGCAACTGTTTAAAGATTCAAATTATCATAGCAAAGAAGACTTCGTGCACTCAGCTACAGCTCCACAGATTATTTCGTGGGGTACTTTTCGGGCAGTAGCAAAAATTTCTCTCCTTGAATTAATTCTTAAATCGGTAGAGCACACCTTTTGTGCAAACTGCCATCCCACTGTGCAGCCGTGCAATATGCTAATTAGATTTAGAACACCAGGGCCAGCGCCCCAATGGAAGCCACACAAGGCTCTGGTTTCTGGTGCGGAACAAGCAAAGCTCAGTAGCAGCTTGGAGAGCATCACGAACAGTGGATAGTGGACAGTGGTAGAAGCAATGGCCATGGACGACTACGACGATGACAGTAAGTGAACGAAGGAAGCGACGTCTGCCACTGTGAATCAATCCCATTCGCCCTTCTAGTGAGCAGCGTGGGCGTGACCACGGCACGCATAGAGAACCAGCATCATCAGGGCCAGCACGGACACGGACATGGACATGGCCAGGGTCAGAGTCAATACAGTGCGGGCGCCGTAAAGGTGGGCGGCTGGCGGTACGAGGATGCCAGTCGATACATTGGGGAGTGGAATCAGCTTGGCCAGAAGCACGGCATTGGCCATCTGCAGTTTGCCGACGGCACACGCTACGATGGACAGTTCCAGGAGGGCCTCAGCCAGGGTGTGGGCTGCCTCTGGTTTCCCGATGGAGCCAAGTGAGTGCCGCAATCAAATCAGTTATCCAGTAATCCCAACGAGGCAGAACCTTAATCCTTGTGCACAGATATGAGGGCGAGTTCCATCAGGGCTGGTTCCATGGCAGTGGCATCTTCTGGCGCGCCGATGGAATGAAGTACGAGGGTGAGTTTCGTGGCGGCAAGATCTGGGGACTGGGACTGCTGACATTTCAGGACTTTACGCACGGATTTCCGCGTAACGAGGGCTTCTTCCAGGACTGCCGCTTCATGCGGCGACGACGCTGCCCCGAGGTGGTGCAGCGGGCCCAGAAATGCGCTCTCCTCGCCCGATCCCAGTGCGAGCATCCGTATTGAGCTTGACAGTTGGCAAATAAACTCGTGTAGATCCTATGGATTGTGCGTTCTCTTATTTCTGATTTCGTTTAAAATGTTAACAATAATTTGTTCGTTCCTTGGCTAATCTTCGTTGGCGGCTCCCACCAGGTACCACGCATTCCTGGCCTGCACCGCCGTGTTCCGCACCAGACGCTTCGGATCGTCCAGGGCTGCGGCGAGGGCCAGCGTCACGTCCACCTTGTGGGGCAGCAGAGCGAACGTTGGATACTTCGTTATGTCGTAGAGCAGCTGCAGAGCCGCAATTCGCACTTGCTGTTTGGTAAACAAATGAATCAGTCCCCGCCACAGTCTAGTCTCCAGAATCACTCACCATCGTGTGCTGCGCCTTGTATTTGGATAGCTCCAGGCAACTGGGTATGAGATGGCCCAAATGCGCCTGGAAATACGCATCCTGCTGCTGCACAAAGCTCTCGCAGATGCCCAGGGCAATGCACAAGGACTGCGCCTCATTGTGCTCCTCCAGACTGCGAAAGAGCAGCGGTCCCAGCTGCTCGATATTCAGCTTGATCACCGCCTGCGGCGTGGCCTTCAGCACGTAGACAAACGCCTTCAGATGATGCACACAATAGTCGGCCAGCTTGTTGCCCATCTTGCCCATGATGGTGTGGAAGAACTTTTGCTTGTACAGGAACTTGACGACCGGCAAATCCAGCTCGGGATATTCAGCCGCTATAATGTCAAAGCCCAAGGCAGCGGCAGTGCTCAGAGTCGGATGCTTGAGCAGATCCGATAGCTAGACAGCAAAGATTGGAAGAGATTTGATTACAATTTGTTGGCTGATTAAAGGTTTCTTTGGCACTCACATCTCCCACAATATCGGCGGCCTCGTCGAAACCTGCTACCACCAGACCCTTGCCCACCCAGGCAAGAATCTCCACAGCACGCACATCGCCCGCTTTGATGGCCTTCTTCAGTTGCTCGGTGATCTGCTTCACTTTACCTCGATTCTCCGTGGAGTTTTGCATTTTGTTTACCAAACTACAGAGCAAATGGTGGGCAATGACGCGCAGCTGCTCGTTTTCTGTGCTCAGGGAGAGCTGGGTGAGATCGCTTAGCAGCCGCTCGAAGTGATCGTCCAGACTGATGTCCTTGTGCAGGTAGCCCAGCAGACCCTTGGCAATGTACAGATCCGCCGACTTTTGTAGCTGCAAACCCGGCAGATACTCGCTGATGATGGCACTCTGCTCGGAGAGCGGCAGTTGCTGGATGATGCGGCTCAGGGCGCCGGCAATCTGCTCCAGAGACTGCAGCGTCAGATCCTCCGTCTGTTGCGCCAGCTCGATGAGCTTGTGCAGCAAGTTGGACTGCTGCTGGAGGTCCACAATGAATCGCTGATCCTCCTGTGTGAGTAGCGTGTTGAGCGCCTCCAGAGCCAGCAGGCGCACGGGCTCTGGGTTGCCTTCCTTAAACATCTGTGTCATGACCAGGTCCAAAATGCGTTGGGTAAATGCCATTTGGGGTAGCAGCGGCAGCAGGTTGCTGTAAATCTTTCGCTTGATAAAGTTTGAGAAGATCTCAAAGTTCCGAATGCTAATGTCTATGAAGTTCGCCTGCAGCTCCACCGGCTGCAGGGCGCCCAGGCCCACCGTGAGCACTGTGAAGTCCAGATCTATGGTGGGATGGCTGATCAGCTGCACCAGCGCCTTGTACACCAGCGCACGCTGTGCCTCACTCAGCACCGGGGCGCACTCGTTAAGTACAGACAGGGCCGCCTTCTGCAGCTCCAAGTCCTCCTGCTTGGCATCGAAATCCTCCCGCTCGCACAGTCGAAGCGCTGCTATAACATCGTCCTGCAGGGCAACACTTATCGTGGTGTCCAGTTTCTGGAGCGAGTCACGCAGGGCGGTCAATTTGTAAACCTGGGCGACAATCTGGTATATCTTGATGCGCTGGTCGGGTGGCGACGTCCCGAGATCCGTGGCCTGCAGCTTGAGCAGGAAGCTGTTCAGGATCTTGTCAGCGGCAAACGGCGCGTCTCCGGCGACACACACCAGCGCAATGGCCGTCGCCGGATGGAAGAGCCGCTGATTCACGTCGCTCAGTTGGGGCAACACCACGCCCAGTACAGACGTCTGATAGCTGTGGCTAATGCTGGGCACATGGGCCGCTCGCTCCAGCAGCGCGCCCAAAGCCTTGAGCGAGGCTTTAAGAATGTCTTCGTTGTCGGCGCCAGGAAAAGTTTCGGCCTTGAGCGCCTGCCAGATTTGGTCAAAGTGCGGCTCCAGCACTGAGGGAGGGAACTTGACGGCCGCTTGATGCTGGAATACAAATGAAAGCGAAAATTAGTGGCTGTGAAGGTTGCAGGAAGGTCGTTTGGTTTGCTTGCCAGCAGCTCAATGGAGTCCAACTTGGCCACCAGCAGCTCGCTCTCCAGCTTCTCCACGGCCAGGACGACCGTCCACTCGGCAAACTCATTGTTGGCCACCAGACAGTTGGTCAGCTTGGCGGCCAACTGGTCACGCGTGATGGCCGTGGGGTCCTGCTTGCTGGGGTTGAAGTCGATGGGGAAGTAGCAGGCGAAGATCTCAAACATCTCCTCGGCCAAGTGCAGCAGCGGATAGTTGGCCATGAAGTCGGGCATGAAGCTGAAGATGATCTCAAGATTGCGGGGATCGCGCTCCCCGTCAATGGAGTTAATCAAGCCGTACACAAAGTCACCGGCCATCGTCGTGAGCTCTATCAAAGAAGGGGATAAAAAGGGAATGTAAAAGGAGGGAATATTGATTGTAAATCAAATCTGTCACATACCCTCCTTGAAGGTGAGCGTCAGGTACTTGAAGATGTTGAACAACTTGGTGCGGTCTCCGCGCGTCTGCGACTGGCAGGTTGTGTGCTGGAAGAATGCCTGTAGGATCAGTGGAACATTACCGGCTGGCAGAGCCTTCATGTGAACCATTGCATCAATACCATCGATGATCGCTGGCATCACGTTGTGGTGATCCCGCAGTCGGTCCGTGTAGAACGTGGTGAGGAACTCCAGCTGCTCCGCACTGAGCAAATCCGTTGGCAGGGCACACAGGACCGCGGACAACAAATTGGTGCCGGCCACGCGCTGCTCCATGTCTGGCGAGGACAGGGCAAAGCCCAACTCCTCCGCCAGCAGCGATATGTCATATACGCCAGCGGTCAAATCTAAAAAAACAAAGAAACTCTCCAATGAGAACAGAAGCGTCCGGAGACCTCAATGCCATGCCCACTTGCCCTTGGCGACTTGTGTGGCTTCCTTCTGAAGTTTTGCATCGCTTTTCAGTGCCTTCTCGAGGGTGGCGCGCGTGGGCGTTGTCATTTTGGGCGCCGTCGCTTGCGTGATGGGCTAAATTTAATAAATGTCTAAGCACGTTAAGCCGAATTGTTAAGAACCGATAACCGATGAAGACCTTATCTATAGACGCAGGGTTGCCAGACCACACGCTGCTGTTGTTTTGATTTGGTAGGTGCATATAGATATAGTAGAATATTTTCTTATATTTGACATTTTTAACCTGAACCTGAATCCACACAAGCTATTATTGATTGGAGGAGCAAAGATACAAGCAGCTTTTTTCTTATGGTGATATTGGACATTAAGCCATTAAAAAGGTGTGCTCATTAGCACTGGCAGGTGTCAGTGGGTTAAATCCGTTTCATTCTTGAGTATATTTACGAAATATTTCAAAATGAAAGAGTATATTTCAGATGTTCAGCGGGTATAACCTCGAATTGTGGAAATGTTGGAAATCTCTGGCTCCAATCTATGCAAAAACAAGTCTGTCTGCATTGGTGAGCCATCCCAACGAAATTTTCATGATTATAGAATTGTAATATTAATTATAGCAAATAGGGTACACAGGTGCCCATACTTTACTATACTATCGTTTGGCGACTTTTAATCCTATTTTTTTGGTTGACCTTTTAAGTTTTAATTAAGATAATTCATGAAAATTAAACAATCTTGTGCAGAATTGAATGATAATTTGAGTAAAACTACATTTTTAAAGCTAAGACTCCTAACTAGCTGATAAAATAAAACAGAAGTTAAAATTCGGGGAAAATTATTAAGATTTACGGTATTTATACATTAATTTTGAAAATTTAAGAGTATATTTCGGTATGTTTCTGAGGGTCTGTCGGTATATTTGACCAATAAGTCCGCGGTCACACCTGCCTATAGTATTAACAAACACAAGCAGCACTTTTTTTAAATCGCCTTTTAATTATTAACTAAATAAGTTTCGTTTTAACTTTAAGCTTTCAACTCCGTGTAACAAATCCAGTTTACTAATGTCCATAACCGTAAGTTCATCGAGTGGCCGCCAAAATGTCGGTGTTGTGTGGAAGTTAAAGCCAGCGGCTGCCGAGAAATGTCAACGTCAGACGCCCGCCCCCACGTAGCTGGGAGCATAAATAGAGAATTGTATTCAAAAGCGCAGAAATGCAATCTTCAAAGCCCTGCAATTGACTTGAAATCTATTTAAATCGTATTTATTTACACATGTGTGTGTGTGGGAGCGCGCCGCTGAAACTTGAGCTTCGCTCTGGTTTTTTTCCTTCTTTTTTCGCTGCTTTGTGCATGTGTGTGTGCGAGCGTTGAATTTTTCTTGTGTTATTTTTTTTTGCATACGAAACGACATTTTGAACGTCGTTGAGTTGAAAGAATCATTCAAATGCGAGAGCCAACAAGGTCGAGCGCCTTATTCGGGCGCTGCTGCGGCCATGGCTATGGCTGCTTCCAATGCGGGTTTATAATTTTATTACATTTTTCCAATCGGCATTTCGGCAGGGGCCCACGTCCCGCCTTGGAAGTGGAAGTGGAAGAATGGGAATGTGAATTGAGAGCGTCTTTAAATATATTTACACATACGATACTTGCCCGTTGACAATTGCAGATTATGTGTGTTTGTGTGCTTTATAATTAGCAACGCACTTCGGTCGTTGGCATTGCCACTCGTGCCGAGTATCTTCCTTTTTATTTAGTTTGATTGTATTCTTTGGCTGCGCGGCTCACTTTCCATTTTTACCTGCATGGCAAAGGCGGCGGCGGGCGTTGGGGCGGACTCTCTCCATGTTTGATTGTGTGATTGTCAGGGCATTGGTGTGTGTGTGTGTGTGTGTGAGTGTGAGTGACGCAGTGCCGCCAAAGTCGCTTCCGTTCTATTGTTCGCACTCACTGACACCAGTTCCCCTTCCCGCACACTCCGAAGCAAGCAACATTAGAAGCAGAGAAACTCTTGCTACGCACTCGAATGCTTTAATTGGAACTAATCTTTATTTCGTTTTTGGTTACAACGACAACAACCTGTTCCGTACCGTACCGATCCGTTCCGTTCCGTTTGAATCTGAGCAGCTGCTGCGAGGTGGCAAGCAAAAGACAAGCAACTGTGTAGGAATGACCGTAATGGCCAAAACTACGTTTGAAGAAATATGCGATAATGCCAAATTAGCCAGGGACATGGCGCTGACGGGCAACTATGACTCGGCCTGCATCTACTATGAGGGATTGCAGGGCATGCTGGCACGCCAGCTCAAGGCCACAGCGGATCCCATGCGGAAGGGCAAGTGGAGCATGGTAAGCGGATAGAAGAATCCCCCAATTGCCACAGTCACATAACTCTTTTGTGCTTTCAGATCAATCAGCAGATCAGCCAGGAGCATGCTAAAGTCAAGGCCATACAACGCACACTGCAGGACATATCGCTGGATTTGCAGAGCACTAAATTTGCCCACAAGCTGCGACAACAGTTGAGCGAAGAGAGCAATGTGAGCCAAGATCCCTCCGCCTGGTTTAAGCCTGATCCAGATATTTGGACACCACCGCCCAAGGATCCAGATGTCTGGGGTCCGCCCAAGCCGCCACCCTCGACCTCGGCCAGCAGCACCACACAGGTTGTGGGCCGGCGAGCAGCAACCAACAATCGACGCAACGGCACCAACGCTACGCAGAGCAACCGCCCCAGCACAATCCCACAGATCACGAACCGAAACGGTCCGAAACGCAACTCGTCCTCCGCCGCCACCGCCTCCACCTCGAACAGTGCACGTGCCACTAATGGCCGGGCAGGGGGACGTAAACTTTCCACCTCAAACAACGATCGCAATGCCAACAACAACGACAGCAAGGATGAGGACGGCGTGGCAGGCAGCAATGGCGGAGGGGGCGACGGGGAAGCCGGTGACTCCCAGGCGGGCGAAGAGGAGCGCAAGTTCCAGCCAAATAATCACATCGAAGCCGAGCTGGTCGACATTCTGGGTTAGTTAAACTTCCCTACATAGCCCTTACCTTTCCTAACCATTGTCACTTGTCGGTTTCAGAGCGTGATATTCTGCAAAAGGATCCCAAGGTGCGGTGGAGCGACATTGCTGATCTGCAGGATGCCAAGCGGCTGCTGGAAGAGGCTGTGGTATTGCCCATGCTCATGCCGGACTACTTCAAGGTGCGTCATCACTTTTGCCTGTTTACTCTGAACTCTGAATCACTTCAGAGCAAGTTGATCTTATCTACGCTGCGGTGTTGGGTCAATAAACGCCAGCAGTGCTCCACAATATTTGTGTACAACGGATGAGACACAAACGTTTACGAGCTGATGGAGCATTTGATTTGAGTTCTGAAAGTTTTTAGCTCTCCCAGGGCTTATCTAGGGCAGTGTTAAACCCAAGGTTATTTTCAAGATTGATTTTGAAGAGGAATCCCCGACACTTGCTGTGAAAGTTGTATTTACTACGAATTCATTTCCTTGTTGGCACAATCTTATCTACAAATTGTGATACGCGTTGTCTGATATCTACAGACACATGTATCCAGTGGCACGAACAAGTAGTTTTTATTGATGTTTTTTTATTGATTATATTCATTTCATTTCTCTTCTTATAGGGCATTCGAAGGCCATGGAAGGGTGTGCTCATGGTCGGACCACCGGGCACGGGCAAAACTATGCTGGCCAAGGCCGTGGCCACCGAATGCGGCACAACCTTCTTCAATGTCAGCTCGGCCACGCTCACCTCCAAGTATCGTGGCGAATCGGAGAAGATGGTGCGGCTGCTGTTCGAAATGGCGCGCTTCTATGCGCCCAGCACGATCTTCATCGATGAGATTGACTCGCTGTGCTCGCGCAGAGGGTCGGAGTCGGAGCACGAGGCCTCGCGACGCGTCAAATCGGAGCTGCTGGTGCAGATGGATGGCGTGGGCGGTGGCGAGGAGCAGGCAAAAGTTGTTATGGTGCTGGCAGCCACCAATTTTCCCTGGGACATTGATGAGGCGCTACGCCGGCGGCTGGAGAAGCGCATTTACATACCACTGCCGTCGGATGAGGGTCGCGAGGCGCTGCTCAAGATCAACCTGCGTGAGGTCAAAGTGGACGACACTGTGGATCTCACCTACGTGGCCAATGAGCTGAAGGGCTACTCCGGAGCGGACATAACCAATGTTTGCAGGTGGGTTGACTGGGTTGATTGCTGCCTCAAGTCTTGGCTCTAACCTTTTGTTTCTTTTTGTTCTCGTAGAGAGGCGAGCATGATGTCCATGCGGCGAAAGATAGCTGGCCTTACGCCCGAGCAGATCAGGCAACTGGCCACCGAGGAGGTGGACCTGCCCGTGTCCAACAAGGACTTCAACGAGGCCATGAGTCGCTGCAACAAGAGCGTGTCCAGGGCGGATCTGGACAAGTACGAGAAATGGATGAAGGAATTTGGCTCGTCATGATGGCGTTACCGTCACCCACTACATTACCCTCCCTTGTTGCAATTTGTAGCAATTGTAGGAATATATTTTTGAATACCCTAACAATAGGCGCTTAAGTTATTAAGCTTTTAAAGTGAGATCCGAACCGATCCAAAGCGAACCGAACCGCCCGGATGAATAGTTGAACATATTTTATATAAAACATTTTACACACGATATGGAAACGGAAGCCGTTGGAATTATGAAAAAAAAAAACAAAAGACTAATCGTTCTCTAAGAGGAAACCCAATGAAGCGAAAATGCAAATCTGAAATTGAAACGACATTGAAATCGAAAGAAAGATAGGCAATAATATACACCCACAAAAACACACACACATATAATAGGTAGAGAGATCCAACCCACACACAAAATGCACCACACAATCCTTACTTCCTATACTAATAGTTAATCCAAACAGCAGCACTCTTCCACTCTATATATACACGTTAAGAAATCGCTTTAAACGCCGCCTAGCCTTGGGCACCCATCCATCACCTTGCTCCACCATGTATTGTTTTTATCCAAAATGTTGTATTTTTTAACAGGCAAAGCAAAGCAACGCAAACGTCTAACATTTAACATTAACTTTCGCTTAATTTATAAATTATACACTACATTACATACTATAAATATATATCATAGTTTTTAATGTTAATTTAAACAAAACGAAAATCCGTTCCCATTGTCCATTTGATTCGTCAGCGGAGGAGGAACCTGAAGCAATATGTACTTAAAGTGAAGATTGATTCTATTCAGAAAATTTTAAACAATAAACACAAGTTTTTAACTCGATGAGATGTGGTCGTTTATTAAATATTTCACACAATTTTATACTGTCGGTTGTTCAAAATTCCCCTACAATTGGATGTGTCATGCGTTGCCCCCCGCCTAACACTTCGTCTCCTCTTCTACTACTACTACTACTATGGCAGTAACCAGTATACGGGTGTAGCCCCCGTAGCCCCCTTCTAGTACGGTCTCGACGGCGGCGGCATGGGCATTAGTGGACCCATCATGGGATATGGCGCCGAGCCACCAGCCGACGGGTATGGCATACCACCGGTCGGGGGATAGGGCATCGCTGATCCACCGGCCGAGGGATAGAAGCCGCTGGCTGGCACATTACCGTACGATGGCAAGTGGCCGGGGCCTGTGCTGCGGCGCTGTTTGCGTATGAGATCCTGCATCTTCTCGGCCTTGAGGCGGCGCAGGTGCATGGTGCGGCGGCTGGCAAGAAACTCCTCCAGGAAGGCCTCCACATTGAGCTCGTTGTCGTTGAACTTCTTGACCATATCCTCGGTCTGCTCCTCGCTCTCCGAGGCGGCCGTCTGCAGCAGCGCCAGGGCCGTCTCCTGGCCTACGCCACCCGTCTTTTTGTTGAGCTCTGTGAGCTTCTCCTGCACGGCACTGCAGCAGTTGCGACCTTCTTCGGATAGCTCTGACAGCTTTCCGCGCAGTTCTATGATCTGTGGCTCCTTCTCGATGTTCTCCTCCGCTCGGCTGCGATTGTCTTCGAATATTTTGTTCTTTTGTTCCTTCAGCGCCAGCAGAACCTCGTCCACCTTCTCGTCCAGCTTGTCGTCATTGTTCAGCAGCTCCTTGAGCTGGTCCGAGCTGAGCGGCGCTATGGAGGTCTGCAGTTGGTTCATATATTCCTGGTACATGGCTTCAGTTTACGTGGTACAATTAAATTAAAATTTTTATTTTGCGACTCTATTTTGAACAGTGTGACCGTGAACCTATGAATTAAACATACCAGAAACATGCCAGTCTTAACCCACTGAACTAGTTCATTGAACGAACTTGTATTTCAACCAGCTGATGTTAAATGGATAAATAAATATATTTTGAATATGATTGAAATTAAGGCCAAATTGGTGCGTGCCGACTCGGCCATCTATGCCACAGGCGAACGCGTCGAGTGTTTGATTGAATTCACCCACAAAGTCTTTGCCGACGAGCAGCCGCCGTCCAATAGGAATGCCAACGATGCAGGGTACGGTTTTCAGCCAAAACATAAATTAACTAAATAAATAAAAGCAAATTCTATATTGAACAGGCTGGAGAACCTTGCCTGGGCCTCGGCACAGCTCCACTGTTACCGAAAGACCAGCTACTCCACACCCACAGCGGACAAGACGCAAGAGCTGACCGAGCTCATAGGAAGAACCGCCTTGGATGCAGTGACCCAGGCGCCCGGAGAGGTAATTGTGGCCACCAAACCGAAGATACTGTTCTGCGACCTAAAGCTGCAGCCCGGCGAGACCAAGATATGTGAGTACTTCACCGCCAGAACAGATTAAAACTCGCGAAGATTCCAACCCAATCGACAGATTTCTTCAATGAATTTGTGCCACGCGATGGTCCTCCCACATATCGTGGCCACGACATCAGATACTTCTACAAGATCACCATAGCCACGCAGCGGGTCAAGTCCAAGGTGCAGACACTTGCCGTGCCCATCCGTGTGCTACCCATTCCCATTATTGCCCGCCCGGATGAGCTCCCCGTGACGGTCGAAACCAACGAGGAGCTGGCGCCCACCAATCCCTTCCTGGAGAAGCGTGAGATCAGCGAATTGGAGATATCCTGGCATCATCTAAAGGTGCGTAAGGCACCCTTCCTGTAACCATTAGTGATGTCATATGCTTCCCCTTGCAGAATGTGACTGCCCGTCGTGCTCCAAAGTTCTATCGCATTTCGAACAAACGAGGATTCGTGGGCCGCTTTTGCCTTTTCAAGCCCGCCTACAAGTTGGGCGAGGACATAGTGGGGAGCCTGGACTTTGATGGCTGCCAGGTGCGCTGCGTTCAGTTCTCCGTGAAGCTGCAGCAGCAGGAGCTGCCCATCCGGCCACAGCCGCCACAGGCGCTGCAGTCGCAGTCGTCTGTCGGGGACGATGCCTCCTCCATCCAATCCTTCGACATGGCCAGCATAGCCAGCGGCGTGGCGGTGGACAGTTTGCACAGATCGGCCACTTCGGGCAGTGCCCGGGAAAAGGACACGCCCGAGCCCACAGGCAAGCTCTCGACCATCTCCAACACGCATCAGGTGTGCTACGCCACACAACAGTCGCAGGTGGTGGTGCCCATTCCCCTGCACGTGACGCCCACATTCAGCACGGATCTCGTCGATGTCAAGTGGCGTCTGCACTTCGAATTTGTGACCAGCACGATGATGGACTTCGGTGGCCCCAATCCAGAGTCCGGGGAGCTGAAGGCGCCCGCCGAAATGCCCGTGGAGACGATGGTGTGGAATCTGCCGGTGACGATCTATGCGGCCAACCCGCTGCAGATCTACAACCCAAATCAGACATTCAATCTATTAATTAAGTAAAGGCCAAGCCATCTGTGGCAATGCAATATCCATCATTGTTAAACTCTAAAACCGAAATATTAAAGTAATTTTTTTTATATTTTAAATGTTTTAACCCGCAACGAAATTAGGGTTGTCAAATAGATATCAATATATCGATATTTAAAAAAATATATATATATTTATATCGTGATTTTTTTTTGCTCAAAATATATATATAAGCGTAAGAGGCTTCTCACACGTCTCTTCTCATTTTGGAAACTAGCCAACCTACTGGAGAATTCATTAATGAATCGGATAAAAGTATAGTTTTTGCGCCAAGACCCCTAAATAGTTGGTAATATTAAACAGAAGATACAAATTAAAGGAAAAGTGCTTTGTATATTATTTTTGGTATATTTCTGTGGGATTCTGTGCTCATACTGCTCCGCAAAAATGAGGAGAGAGAAGAGAGGATCTTGCTGACCTAATCCTCTCTCTTGCTGACCTAATCCTCTCTTTTCTGGTAAAATAGGAAGAACGTTTTTAGTCCCCACCTTTATGGCACCTTTTGAAAGGATCCCTTATAGAGCCTGAGAGAGCGTCTGGCGGGAGAGGATTTCGCTGACCGGTTAGACACAGGAGAGAACTTTTAACCCCTATTTTACAAGGGAAATTTTACTTCGAAATCGTATATAGAAAAAAAAGTTTTAATACTTTTCCCGACTTTTTACGCGTTTTCAACTTACAACTGTGAGAAAATTAGAAAATTTTCGAGGTCCTTTAAAATATCGAGAAAATGATCGATATCGATATATATCGAAATCGATCACGGAGGATTAAATCGCAGGTGTCATATACCCTGCGTACTTGGAATTTTTGTGACGTATTTTCCCGTTGTCGACACCTTACAATTTCGCACCGAAGTGGCAGCGCAGTGGCAGCGCAGTCAAAATAAATTGTTTCACCGTGTCGGTCTGTGCGTCGGACGATATAAAAACAATCCAACTTCGAGCTAAAATTCACAATTTTCGCCGCGAACCATGCAATTTTTTCTGAATTCAGAAAATAAACAATAATATCAACTATTATTTTCGTCAAGAAGACGCAAGCGTCGTTCACCGATTGCTGTGAAAATTACGAGCGAGTTTTCCAGGAAATTGCATCAAACGTCGGCAACAAGTGAAAAAGTGATTCTATATAAATGCACAAGCTTTGCTTTGCATTTGTTAACATAAATTAAAAGGCAGTGCGGTGCGCGCCTGCCATTTATCGTTTGAATTTTTTGCGCAATTTCCATTTTACTTTTTTCGCATTCCTTTGCGCGTAGCGCTTGTTTGACGCCGTCGGACGTCTTGGTGGCCCGCTGTCGACGTAGACGCATATTGCGGACTGCGCAGCCGTCGATGCCGTTGCGTCGCGAAATGTGCAACAACAAAAATACCAATGCAAATACAAATACAACGAAAAAAGTGAACAAATCTTCAATTGTGGCCTTAATTTAATTAGGCGAGAAAAGTGTAGTGAAAAAAGTGCTCTTTTTACACCCCGTACTTCACTGGAATATTGGAATATAATACAATCAAGCGGCTAGACGCCAAAAAAAGGTATTGCCATTGAGTTAATTATGAGCTTTTGCTCTTAATTGCTTGCAAAATAAGTGCCCTCCCCCAACTCAATCCTCCCCCTCTCCGTCAACCAACAATTGCCATGTCCGGCTTAGCAACAAAAACAACAAAGGCAGCAGCAGCGACATTCCAACGGCGCGCCGTCTGCAGTTCTACACACACACACATACACGCGTGCTCCACCCGCGCTTCTTTCGTTTTTGTACTTTCTGCTTTTGAAGTTATTTTTCCCTCCCCGCAACAGAAGCGCCTTCCCTCTACACATTGAACACGTAACAGGATACGTGATTCTCTACGCTAATCTCCCCCGCTCCAATACGTAACCAGTGGCTTCTCTACGCGGGATGGTGGCTTAGAGAGCACATCTTCTGTTTAAGCCCTCGAAAAGGGTGCGACCAACAGTGTTACCGGACTCCCCACCTCCTTCATTGTCTTCTTCTTGCCTTTCGGTTATTTTTTATTTTGCTGCTCACCTTCATTTGTTATCAGAGTTTTACCTTTGTTTTTTGATCGTTTCTTTCGTAAAGATGTTGCTTCGCATCACAAGAAAAGTCTCCACTCTACTCCACACTCACTCAAGCGCGTTCTCTCTGCCTCTCACTCACTCACGCAGAAACAGCGCCATACAGTTATACCTGTTTTAGTGGAGGAGAACAGCTCTGCTTCACAGCGATGGTGTGTGTGAGAGAGAGAGAAATCGTGATGGATGGAGGAGAACAGAGCCTCTGCTTGCGAGAGCACTGGAAACCAGTGGATAAAAAGCAACAACATCATTGGAGAGCAGACTGGAAGATTGGAATTTTTAGTGCTGCTTGGCTGTTGCTGTTCCTCTTTGACCAACAGGTTTTTAGTAGCTGCAGCGCAGCAGAGGCGCTCTTTACATGATTATTTTTCTACTACGCTTTGTTTTTGCCGGAGTTCTGGCTTTAGCTTACCTCCCTCCCTCTTCTACTTCTATTTCTCCTCCTTCTTCTTTTACTTCTTTTGCATGGCAAAAGTTTCGGTCATTGTACTGTTGTCTTGCCTACCACAAAGCAACAACAAAACCAGCAACAACTACAATTACAAGCCTGTTTTGCGGTTCTTGCCAATTCTCAATTATCTTTTTTTTCGAGCTCTATTTTGGCGCTCCCTCCCCCCACACCCATTCTCTGTTTTGTCTCTCTCTTTTGTATGTTGCTACTGCATGGCTATGCATTTTTCATAGCTGAACTTTGTACTTTTGTTGCATGACTCATGAGATTGTTACAGGGCATTCGACGGCGAAGGAGGAAGAGAAACGGTATTATAATTCGGAGACAAAGTTTGGCCATGAATTGAAGCTGTTTTGATCATATTAAATGTGATAGAAATGTCTTCGTATGGAATCTCCGTCTGGTGTATTATTTTGGCAAATGTAACATAAAGATTCTCAAAAATCAAAGAAGATTCTTAAAAACTTCTCTCTTATAGTTCTCGTAAAAGTGAATGAGTAAAAGCAGTATGGTGTGGGGGGAGTACCAGGAGAGGGAGTGAGTACATATTACCTTTTGCCCCGTTATCAATGAGCACGTTCCACATTCCGTTCCATTTACCTTATCAATGTGTGTCCCAAAAAAAAGAAGGTCCGAGATAAACCAAAAACTAGCAATAAACACACAATGCACTTGCATTGACAGTAACAGCAGCAGAAGGAGGAGGAGGAGCAGGTGATAAGAAAATAGGGAAAGGGAAGGGGAGACAAACAAATCGAAAAACAAATATCAAAAGTTCAACAAATAAGGTGGAAAAATGAGCCAACGAGAAGACGAGAGCAACAGCAAGAGACGGACGGACGGACGGACGGACGGGCAAGTGCAGAGGCAAATGTAGGCCGAATCTGATCGGATCAGACGCCCATGTGCAGAGAGAAAGAGAGAAACTGGGACACACACTCAGCGACAGAGAAAGAGACAGAGACAGAAAGAGAGAGAGAGAGAGAGAGAGAGAGACACCACTTACACGTGTGTACAGGTGTGCGAGTGGGCCTACCACACAGGCAGGTGCCAGATAATCCAATTACGACACGATAGAGCTCATATTAGATTCCATTCAAACAATGGCCCAGGGGGGTCTATGGCTATGGAAAATCAAATATTTGCCCATTGATAAAAGACTAAACAAATTAAGGAACGGCATGGAGTGTAAACAATAGATTATGCATTGTCTTTTAAGGAGTGTCTTGAGGAAAACGGACTCCAAGGAAATTCGTCTTAAATCAGTTCCCAAACTAATTAATGTTTCAAAGTAAATATTAGTACAAGATTTCCAGACCCCAGACTATGGCTGTCAGGTTGCTTTGGTAACGCCTTTTAACTAAAACGCTACAAAGCGAATGATTGTCCACTTCCTCCTCAGCAAACTTGTTGAGCAATCGTAATGCCCAGCGATAGAATTGCTGAAACATCAGACGGGTTGTATGTAGTAGTATTCGTATGACTGGTGAATGGTGCTGGAGGGGGCAATGATGACATCCACCCAACTGGTTGACCAACTTATCGTCGCCTTTCCAGCTTATCAACAGTTCCCAATAGTTCCGACTTTTAACTAAAGGAATATTACGTAGTATTCGATTATGTTTTATGTGATTTCTGTTGAGTTCTGTTGGAGTAGTAGTGTACTAATTATCTACTGATAATACCTGATACTATATCAGCGTTGCTTTAAACTAAATATAAAAGTGAAGACAGGCGACCTTATTTTTGATTAAAGTTTCGTAAGGAAATTGAGCAAAGCTATTTACGATTCCATAATTTAAGTCTAACTTAAATAATAATAGTAGTGTGAACATTTTAAATCTAAGAGAAATCTTGCTCTAAATTTCTTGTTGGATTTTGAAAATCGTCTATTTTAATAAAACTTCAAGTCATCATTAATCAAATATCTGCAGATCTCTGGAACAACTCTTAGGCTCCTTAAACTCTTTGGAATTTTGAAAATCTTTTTCGCCTCGTAAGAAGTTCTTCTGGTCTCACAATCCATTCTCTTGCTGCGGCTCTTGTGGCACAGCTGCAATTTAACGCCACTGCAGAATGGAGCATTGGCACCCCTTCCACTTGTGGCAACGACTTTGGTGATTGCGCCTCTCTCTTCTGGATTTTTTCGCCTATTTTGCAATTCCCTTTTTCCCCCGAGTTTGGCGAGTAATTAGAGTCGCTTTCAGATTTTCAGATTCAAAGAGCTCAAGCTCCAGCACTCTCTTCTTTGGGTCTGTTCTGTTCTTGTGTTCTCAAATGAAAAATATGTTTATTTTGGGGTTTTGTTGTTTGTTCTGCCACTCCTCCGTCTGACTGCCCGCAGTTGCATGCCCCTTTCTCTCCACCACCTTTTGTTTACATTACTTTTGCTTTCGAACGATCCCGCAATAATCCCAATATCTGTGTGTGTTTCGCCTCTGCGTTTGCTTCGGTTTC